AGCTCCCAATTCAAAAATTTATTGAAATTTGCCTTCATTTCTTATTTTTATTTTCATAAATATAAATAAATTTGACAACAAACAATTAATTTTCGACAGCATTGCCATATTGAAATTGCCTAATTCAGTATAAATTCAGTTTGATTTTGTGCATTAACAACACATAAAAATGAGGATAATGTACAAGTTAATTTGAATTAAGGCTGTTAATGCAAATTAAGGCTGTCGTCTGTCTAGGCTATTAGATTTTATTATAATCGACTAATGCTATAAAATTTCACGTCATATTTATTGTTTCCATTATTATTATTTCCAGTTAAAAGAATTTCTAAAAAAATTATCATTCAACAAAAATTAGTCAAAATAATTATGCCTACGGCTATTTTTCTTTGGGCCCATATGTCTAATTAACATCTCTTTAGGTCTAGTTTACCTATCTTCTAACATCGGTGAATGTCATTGACCTCAAATGAATCATCATTGAGATGGTTTTTCTAACATTCTATAAATATATCCAAATGACTAATAGACTCACCACGTCAACTGATATTACAGCCTTAGCATTATAATTCATACGGAATTTATTTGCAGATCACAATTTTATAATTATACCAATAATGATTTTTATATTGCACTTCAAATTATTTTCATTGCAACCTAATACACTCAATTGATGGCCAACAATACTTTAATCCATGTAAAAAGAAAACAACCACAACAAAAAAAGAAAACGAAACAATTATCAACGTCATATGACTTACTTTTATTTGCTCCCGTTCTCCCCACCTCTCAAGAGAAAACAAACAGCAATTTTATGCATGCATTTTTGTGCATTAGAAATTCCTACAACAGCACAACGCCCACTAATTCGTTATTACGTACGTACAAAACACAACAATAAAAAAATCTCTCCCTTTCCCCAAACTACTCACCTTTAAATTGACAGACATTTAATCTTCCACTCATATACAAAAAAAAACAACAACATTCGTAAAAAGAAAAAATGACCTTCTCTTCAAAAGGGGAGAGATTATTGGAATTGCAACAACAACAATGAAAGTTAACGGTGTCACAGTGCATTCATTGCTGGCATATAAATATTTTTGTTGTTATTGTTGTTCTTTTTTGCAATGTCAATTTTAAGTACATAGCCTCAATTGATGGTTGTCGGCGCCAATAAGGTGGGTGAGAGATAGAGAGAGACCGGGAGGGAGAGATATGACATACACAGAGTGTGTAATGAGTTCGTTAAGGAAATGGCGACTTTGTTGACATTCAAAAGGTCCCCATAGTGGTAATTTTTTATTCATTAGATGGTGTTTTTTTTTTGTTTTTGTTATTGTAATTTCCTTTACATTTAATGATTGCGTGCTTTTCCCCAACACAATAGTTTTTTTTAATTATTATTAGTTTTTTGTTTTAATTCTACCAACGATTATAAAAATTCATTTGTGTAATTAAAAAAAAAACGATATTTAACTGCTGATGACCAACTATATTTTGTTCAATTGCAAAAAAACTTAGCAGAACAGAAAATAGTTAAATGTTATTTGAAATAGTTTCGTGTTAGAAATTAGTTTTTTTTGGTTTGCATTATATTTTTTTTATTATAAAAAACTGTAATTGAGCGGGGAATTTCCCATTGAAAAATAAAATATAATCAGAAAGAAAGCTTTTTTATCTACGATGAATAAATGGCGAATATTTTTTTTTTGTTGTAGTGGTTGTAAAGCAGAAGCTTTCGTTCTTTGTTATTTGTTGTTGTTGATAAAAATCTGCAGCCATATTGGCCATTTTGTGTTGTTATCTTATTTTTTGTGTAGTATCCCGCCATTTTATTGTTAATAACTAATAGCATTTACCTGTTACCAAGTTAATTAAATGATGTTATCATAATATTGTAGATTAAAAATAAATGCATTATTAGATAATTACACAGGTTTACAAATATTCTGTTTTCGCAATAAAAAAGCATATTAAAAAATACAAGTTTATTAACAAAAACAAGATTAAAAAAGCGCCATAAAACGCATTATTACTGAATACACCCCATAAATGTATGTAGTAAAAATTAAAAAGGGTTCTAAAACACCAAAAATATTAAATCAATACTAGGCATACCCAATGATTAGCATTGTAAGTCGTATTACTGAACATACTATATTGTCACTGAACGTACTACATATCAAAAAAGCAAATAATAGAAAATGAATAATGCAATGAAAAATACTCATTGTCTTCTCAATGCCACTGAACATACCCTATATAAAGTATGTAAGAGTCACGACTTTTCTATTGCCGAATAAATGTAAAAATATATTTTTTTGGAAAAAATAACTATCAGAATAAATTTTTAATCCGATTTGCTAATATTTTACAAAAATGTTATTAGCAGTGATGCTTTTAATGCAGGGCTGTCCACACTAATACATGCAAATGTTTCTTATTGTATTTGTTTCAAATACACAATTTTCAAATTTATGTTTCTCTCTTGTTAAACTGTGAGAAAAATTGTAAAAACTTGTATTTCAAATTTTAAGACAGAAGAACATTTTGTATTCAATGCAAATATGCTTGTTAATGATATATTTTCCTATATAAAGATAGATTTGCTTCTTTTTCGCCAATCCCCATTGTATTGGTCACATATTTCGATATTTTTCTGAACTAATTTTTGCCAAAAATTTCCTAATTTGTTCGTTCAGTGTATGAAAACAAAAAGCAAATTTGAAAATATTTTTTTTATTTTCAAATGTTTTTATTTTTATCATTGTGTGTGAGAGAGTTTTGACACACACCGACAGCCCATGGGACCTATTTTGGGCACACCTGTTTTAATGCCACTGCACATACCCCATCGATAATTTCTTCACCAATTTCCAATAAAATTTCACATCAAAAATATTGCTAACTTTATAAAATATCACTGAACATACCCTATAACTGAAAGGCAATAATGTCCATTGCGATAATTTTAACTAATACGGCCTTTGAACATTTTATTTATTTTTAAATATTGCTCATTGTTTTCTCAATACCACTGAACATACCGTATATACAGTATGTAAAAATATCGACTCCTCTGTTGCCGAATAATAAAATTTACATTAAACACTGTATATGTAAATAATACATTAACCAGTGTTAGAATTGTAAACCACATTACTGAACATACCCTAAATGTAAAATGAAAAAATATATATTTTTAGAAAAAATAACTATCAAAATAAATTTTATTCCGATTTGCTAATATTTCACAAAAAAATTTGACAGTGTTCCTTTTAATGCCACTGAACATACCCCATATACAAATGAAAGTATATCTTTAATTTCTCACCAATTTGCAATCCAATTTCTCATCAAAAACATTGCTAATATTATAAAATATCACTGAACATACCCTATAACTAAAATGGAACAAAGGAAAATTACAAAAAAAAAAAATTATTAAAATAGTGAAATAATTTGCCCTTAGTATTTTCTTAGATATTGCTTATTTTCTTCTTAATGCCACTGAACACACCCAATATACATCAATTAATTAATTAATCAATTAATTTTTTTTCTAAAAATTGAACCTAGATCTCTTGTATTAGACAATATGTTGACAGAAGTATTTTAAGACAACATACTGAACATACCCCACAAATGTCCCAAATGTTGAGGCAGGATAGAAATGTATACACATTTTGTTTTTTTGTAGGAAATGAGGCCAATAGATGTCCACCAATAAGGTCCTTGAAGGATAATATGTTCTATCAAATTGTTGATAAGTTTTTTTAGTATATTCACTGAACATACCCAACATGCTAAATGTGACAAGATAAGAATAATTTAAATGATTTTCGAATTTTAGAACAACGAAAGAAGGAGTGAAAGATCGTCTTGAGGGTTAATATATTAAAAAAAATTATGGAATTACTAGTCAATATTCTGAACATAATAAGTTCTACACTAATGTTCAGCAGTATATTTTCATAGTAAATTTACTGAACATACCCCGCACCTAAAATGAAAGATTCACGATATTTTCAATGTGTAAACGGAATAAAAATATGGAAAACAAATTTTTGAAGAGGGATAATATATTCGAAAAAATATTTATTAGTATTTGTTCAGTAAATTTGGTAAACACACCCCAGATCTAAAATGCAAGAATCAATATGAAAGCCTCTACTATTGGGTCCTAAAGGTTATATATTCAACAAAAGTGTTGATCAGAATTCAAATTCTCTATAAAAAATAAAAATGTATGAGAAAAAAGTTGTTTGAAAAAATATAGGGTTAATATGTTCTAAAAAATATTTATCAGCATGTTCTCAAAAAAAAAAAAAACTAAACATTTCTCACTGTAACTTAGCTAAACATACCCCATTTCTAAAGTGCGCACATCACAAGATTGTCAATGTCAGAAGAACCCCTTGTTATTAGTAACTGAAGATACCCTTCGAGATGGGATGGATTTAATTAGTGCAAAAATTAATAATTTTTTTGAAAATATTTTGACAAAAATATACCGCATAGTCACATACAATGAGTGCTTAGAGAATTAATAGGTTCCACAAAAATGTTCACCAGAATGATCTCCATAAAATTACTGAACATACCCCACCTCTAAAATACCAAAAACAACGAGATTTTCTATGCCGAAAGCACACATTCAACAAAAATTATTGTTATATGTTCAGTTACTAACAAACCTATAGTTACTAACTGAACATACCCTTAGATGTGGGGTGTGTTTCGTTAGTGCAAGAAATATACATTTATTTGTTGTTTCCTTGTAGAATAACAGTACGTTTACATTTAACCGGATTTCGTTAACCCAGTGGGTTTAAATTGTCAATTCCTTTGCATATATGTCAAATAAATCCTCATAAAGTAGGTTAACCCGGTAAAAAGTTCTAATGTATATGCCGTTTAAGTTATGTTATTTCTAATTTTAATTGATTTTTTTTTATATATTTACTAATCGTTTTCTTTTTCGCTTTTCTTTACAGTTTGAGGGAAAGCTGTGTCTAAGACTCTTTAAAGAGCAAGTTTAGAGGTTCCCTTACAATTTCATTGTTTCTTTCCAACGGTGAATTAAAAGTGAGTATACATTTTAATATTCAATTAAACCCTCATAACAATATTTGTTGAACAAAAAACCCAAAAAAATACAGAAATTTATTAAATTATTTTATGAAAATTTTTTATAAATAATTTATTTATAAAAATTCAGTCCATATTGCACACACACATTTAGTTTGTATGGCACACTTTACAGATTACAAAAAAAAAGAAATGAAGTGGAATAAATGTGTAAAAAAAATATTGAAAAAAGTAAAAATATTAAAAAAAGAAAAAAATATGAAAAAAGAAAAAATATGAAAAAAGAAAAAAATATGAAAAAAGAAAAAAATATTGAAAAAGAAAAAAAAAATAAAAAAAATAAAAGTATTGAAAAAAAATAATGAAAAAAATAAACAAAAAAGAAAAAATAAAAAAAAATATTGAAAAAATGAAAAAAGATATTGAAAAAATGAAAAAAGATATTGAAAAAATGAAAAAAAAATTGAAAAATTAAACAAAAAATGAAAAAATATAAAAAAAAATGAAAAATACAAAAAAGAAAAATATAGAAAAAAAAACAAACCAAAAAATTATGAAAAAATAACAACAAAAATACAAAGGAAAAAATATAACAAAACGAAAAAAATAAAAAACCACAAAAGGAAAAAATAAAAAAATGCACATTCGTTACAGCTTTACAAAGGTGATATCAAGCGTAGCCACTATATATTCGAATTTCTCGCATTCGAATAAAATTTTGGATTCGGATGTGTTCCGAATATTTTCAATTATGTATTCTATATCTGTTATTTCAAATGGTACGCATTGCACTTGATATCACTACTAGGCTGTATTCGAACAAAAAGAAAAAAAAATGATCTGCAATCTGCCCAGTCTGCCCCACCCACCCTTAAGTCTCATTTTCAATCACCTAACCAGAATTCCAAAATTGTATATATCAAAAAAAATTGTTTTACAAATATTTGTCATTGTTGTTGTTTCTCTCTATGTATTGGACTGAAACTACCTTAAGTTTTTGGTCACAAGGACATTTTAATAATATCATGTTTTTTGTTTACTTTTTTTTCTTCCACGTCGTTATTGCTCCACTCTTTATATCAACTGTAACTTTCTTTGACCCCCCTCTCTGTCTGTCTAATAACCAAAACCAAAAAAAAAAACCTAATAATAATTCTCATATGCGAATTATAACAATACCTGTCAACCTGAAAAATATTGCCGCCACTAAAAACGAACTTGACGCTATAAAAAATCGAAATTGGATACTGTATTGTGTTGTTGTTGTTTTTGATAATTGAAAAAAAACAATTTTTCCTTGGGGGTAATACAAAAATAAAATTGAATTCTGTCCGTTGTAAAAATGAAAATCTGGTTTCATAAAATAGCCAAGATCAAAATGGCATTCAGCGTCGAAGTCCAATCTAGCCAATCACGGCCACAAGCCCACAACAACACAACCACCAACAACAAATCAAATCAATCACCTTACATCAACAAGGTCCTACTCCCCATCTACCATTATACTGAAGCGGGGGTCCAATCCGTTGTCCCAGTGTCCAAGAACAGTGCAAACGATTACGATAACCACAAGCTCAGAAAGTCCCGAAAGTATCATCTTGATGATACAGGAACCAACCATAGCTCACCACCCACAGAGCCGACAATACCAAACGACGACAACAACGGATCTAATCAAGGAACCAAGAACGGCAACAACAACAACGGTAGTGTCCCCGGATCCCACACTGATGCAAACGAATACGGACAAGTCTTGTGTGATTCCGAATACAACCGAGAAAACTGCAACAACAACAACCGTTCTGAAAATTCCCAAACAATCTTCGAAACCAAGAATATTTTTGCTTACCAGGCCTGCAAAGTTGCCACTGGTTCGGAAGATTATACCCCAAACAGTGGAAGCCCACCAGAACGGGTTGAATCCGGAGTTACCCCACCCCCTAGAAACGACGAAGAAGAAACCCCAAGAAATAAAAATAATCAAAATCGAGAAGGTGCATCATCAGCCTCACCAACCCTTGAAGCTGGAAAGTATTCGGAAATTACCAGAGAACCTGGTTGCGATCCGCCAGCAGCAGCAACAGCACCAACAACATATATTGAACTCATACAAGAGCAAGTCTCAAGATTCTTCAGTACTCCTAGAGGAGAACCAGAAGTCTATAATACAATCACTACCGCGTCAAAGCGTCAAGTCTACGACAGCAACAACAACAACAAGAATACAAGAAAACAATACAGTCCAACAAGCCGCCTATTTGAACAAGTCGGCCGCCCAAACGAATCGACAAGTGGTAATCGGCAAGAAGCCATCGACATTGGCATCGATGGCCGGCATAGAGTTGACAGGTGCCGATATGTCCCCTACAGCAGCGGATATGAGTGGAGCAATGCCGCCTACTGCTACAGTTGAAGAGATAAATGTTCCGGTATTCATAGATGGTGAGTACTGTGTATGTACATGGCTGAACGGTAACCCCCCAAATGTCACATTTGACCCAGCGAGAGAGTGAGAAATCTGCGGAGGACCTATTGGTGATAACTCTCGATGGAACTCAAATGTTGACAAAACGGGTTCAATGTTCTGGCCATGGTTATGTGTAAACTTAAAACAAAATGTGTTTTGTCCGCAAAGCACAACATTGATACTCATACTACCCATAAACTTGGACTCAGACGGACCGGATCTGACCTGACGCACCTACATAAATTTTTTATGACTCCAACAAATACGCCTACGTTACCCATAAACCATATCCCGCATATAAACCTTTCGTCCACGAAAAGGTCACAATCACATAAAAAATCACAGTGCAATGACCCATTGATAAAGTGAAAACCCACGGAACAGATATCGTAAACCCATTTGTTCCACAAAAAAACAAATGGTGTTTAACGATACCGGATGAAGTGGTCGTTTGCACCTTGAGAGAGAGAAGAAAGATGAAGATAAGCATGTATCTGGTGCCAAGGTAACGAAAACAAAACAACGCCACGAAAGCAACCGTACCAAATGCAGTAGTGTGAGGAAGACTGTATCCTTCCCATCCTCTAAGGGGAGGGTGAGGATCAGAACTTCTAATCACGGCAAAAAGGCAAATAAGTGTTTTACTCATCATTCCGCATTGCATTGCATTTGTAATGTTATTAACAAAAACTACATATATATTTAATATTATATACTTGTATACATATATATTTATTATATACATACATATATTTCATATACATTTTAATTATTCATATACCATTTCTATTTCAGCTCATTTATATATGAACAAGTTGTATTTAATTATACATCTTGACAAATATTCTGCATATCGAATAACTTAGTTATATCTGAATTTTACAACAATTACTTAGATGAAAATAATTCCGCAAATATCGCAAACAATGTTAGGTTATATCTAATATATGGATATGAGTTTTACTATAGCCGATTTTTACAAATATATATATTTTTTTTTTTTTTTTTCGTTCGTTCCCACGCCTCTCACACCCGCCCCTGCCGACCGAGGGGGCTACCTCCCTATACGCAGGGAGCACGTACACACCAAAGACCGGACTAAGGCGGGTTAGTAGTGGTTTAACAATACCGGCTACATATAGATCATCAGCCGGCAATTAGTAATAATACAACAAATATAAATTAGAATTAGATACATTAAACAGACATTACATAAATAATAAAACAAATCAAAGAAATGGCAAAAATAATTTGTGCAAGGTTCCACTTCGACATGGAGAATTTATTGGGAGCATGTGCTAAAATATTAGATATGTCCGAAAACGATCTATTAGATTCGCTGATAGAAACAAAATTAGAATCATTAGATGAAGACTGGCATTATGTACGTACTGCCTATGAAAACGTCTACCTTGCCGATGACAAACTTCTTACAAAGAGATCAACATTTTAAGAACTTAGAACTACATTAAAATATATAACTTGAGCTGACTATCAGCAAGATTTTCCTTACAAATATCCTTTCTTTCACAGGAAGAAGAGAAATTGAAGTCAGCTTCAAATGGATGGAACTACGGTTGACACATGCATACATGTTGAGGAGCGAAACATTAGAATTTCGTTGAGTTGTCTACATGTTTCCGTTCAGTTGACGATATGGTCTCTCCTCTTACTCCTCTTCTAAGTGCACCTCAACTAAGTGCAGTTCTCCTTCCGGACAAATCTACTTAAGCAAGTAAGGTTCCGATCGCTTTCAAGTGCCATACTGAAATTTAAATCATTAATGACTTTATAGGCAGTATGTGCTTCCAGTTTTCTGTCATCCCATACTCATACAAATCAGCCTGATGTAGGCTTCTGAGACCTTCTAATTTTGACAGCATGTTGGTTATCTATTGAGAGAGAAGGCAAATATCTTCCGCATAATCTATGTTTTTGAGAAGCACCTTCTCTTAGAACACTTCTTTTTAGATCGCTTCAAGAGCAAATCTTCTTAAACAACTAAGAATCCGATCATCTTCAAGTACCCTACTGAAATCTCATTGCCTACTTATTAAATCTGTAGTGACAGCATTCAGTTAGTATATGCTTCCAGTCCTCTGTCATTCCACAGCCATATATATCTCTTTGAGAGGTCTTTCAATTTTGACTGCATGATGCGAACACAAATCTACTTAAACAATTAAATTTCCGATCGTCTTCAAGTACCCTACTGAAATCTCATTCCGTACTTATTAAGCCTGTAGTGACAGATAAGGTTCCGATCGTATTCAAGTACCCTATCCACTCTAACTCTCCATTCGTTATACCTACTTAATATTTTATTATCATTCTAGTTACAAGGTTTTGTATATACTACCAGTATTCTGCTGTCCCATCCACACCCATGTAAATCTGTCTAATACAGGCCCTCCTAGTTTTCTACGTCATTTTGGTTATATTAATAGAAAGAAGACAAAAATCATGACTATGTACGAAGAATTCCTCAACCTATGTACATTTATCCTCCTATGCGCTTCACAAACAAATCTGCTTAAATAACAAAGGATCCGATCGTCTTCAAGTACCATGCCGAAATCCCATACCTCCCCTCTTTATACAACATTTACTAAATCTGTAATGTTATTCTGGTAACATCATTTAATCAGAATATGCTTTCAGACTTTGGTCATCCCGTCTTCTAATTTTTACTGCATATTGGATATAATGTGTGACATAAATAGTCGAGTTATCTTCCTTCAGGATGACTAAGATCGAATACTGTCTCCTAAATACAGTTCTTCTCCAGAGTGCTTCACAAGCAAATCTACTTAAACAACCGATCGTCTTTAAGTGCTATACTGAAATTCTACTTCAATCCTCCATTTGTTACACCAATACTTATGACATCTGCATTGTTCTATAATGAATTTTACGGCATGTATGGTCTACACAGCTTCTGTTTGGTCTGAAGCTAGCTTGAACATCTACCTGCTGCTAGAAATGTGTATTATTACAGTCTTTCAAATCGTCATGTACGTTTGGAGCCCAATTTTATGTGTAGCCAACACCGAATCTTCCTACTGTAACAAGTTTCTCATACATCCGTCTGAGAATCTGCAGTTAATTTCTGTCCATGTAGACAATTAGGAAAAAATCATTGAATCAGTATTTAACCGGTATTCAATAGATCGGAACCCATCTGGCCCATATATTATTTGCAATTTACTACAATTTATTACTACTACGGATGTTATATAAAGTCCGAAAATGCAGCTATTCTGATCATTTCAGGTTTTAAAGGGGTCTATCAAAAACTTTGATTTTTCTTCTCGGAATGCATATAGCTTCTCAGAAAGCACACAGCACATAACCATAGAGTAGCTAATCTCTAAAATGCGATGCAGCCAAGAAAGAAAATGCATTTAAATGTAAGTTGACATCTTCCTCTTTCGCTAATCCTTTTGTGATTCTCAGTCTTTACGGAAGATTTCGATGCAGCGTTCGTCTTCTGGACACTAGAGCCAGTTTTGGCGCCTCAGTCAATGAATTTTCGTGAGATTCGCCTTTAATTTCGGATTAACTCAGGCGATCTGAAGATCTTTCTAATCTAACCTAATCTGTTTCGTCGCTACCGATGAAATGAAGACAAGTTCAGGCTTATCCTGGTGTTCGCTTTTATTTCTCCGGTAATCTTGGCCCATTTCCTCATAATCATTGAAATGCAAAGCCATGAAACGCTATGCAACCAAGAAAGACTGATGGCTTAGGAAGTACATTTTAATCTTATGGAAAGTCGGTGCTCTCACCTTTATCTTTCACGGTCCTTTGGGGATTCCCAGTCTTTACGGACGATTTCGTTGCAACGCTCGTAGATAATAGAGCTGGCGCCTTTAACTTTGCGTTGACTCTTTTTCTATCAGCTGACGAGAAGCTCTTTTATTTTGCGGGTTTGGCATTCGTCTACTCTTCTGGAGACATATCATCTTCGCAGCTACCGAGAAAATGAAGGGATGATCAGGCTTATCCTTTTGCATATTCTTCTTCTGTTCGCTCTTGTTTCTTCGGTTAATGCTGTCCGCATAATCATAGAAAATAAACCCCAAAAAGCCGTACAATCTGGTTAGTTTATTTAAGATTCTCAATCTTAACGGACGATTTTGTAGTCTTTTGGATACTAGAGCCTCACTCAGTCAATGAATATTCGTGATAGAATCCTTAATCTTTGGGTTGGCTTAGCATTCTATTTTAACAGCCGATGGGAAGCTCTTGTTCTTCCTTTATGGTAGTGACATTTGTCTGCTTTTCGAGAGACCTAATTCTAAAGAACTCTCCTCTCTCGGTAGGAGACTGATAACGCCCTGGGGTCCATCCTTAGTAAATCTCTAATGTCATTATAGCAAGAGCATTCGATCAGTATATGCTTTCAGCCTTCTGTCATCCCTCATCCACAAAAATCCGTCTGAGACAGTTCACTTTTATGAAAAAAATGCATTCACAGAACTATGACACGTCAGTAGGTACTTATTAGGGATAAGTATATCGACTAATCGACTTTTTGTATTGAAAAGTCTAAAAGTCGAAGTCGACTTTTGATCTATGAGACATTCTGTCTTCCCTCATCCACAAAAATCCGTCTGAGGCAGTTCACTTTTATGAAAAAAAAATGCATTCACAGAACTATGACACGTCGGTAGGTAATTATTAGGGATAAGTATATCTTTCGACTAATCGATTAATCGGCTTTTTGAAAAGTCTAAAAGTCGAAGTCGACTTTTGATCTATGAGACATTTGTAAAGTTGACTTTTCATGATCGACTTTCGATTTTCTTCACAAATACTGGGTTTTTTATCACAAGGTCAAATTGTCAAAAAATTGCACATTCCGGAACTTTACTGTATCTGTTCACAGAAATTCATATAAAAAATCAAATTTTTAGTCGATATTGCAGAAGTCAGTAAATGTCGAAAATCGATTTTGAACAGTTTTGACAAA